CCCACACTCTACCGCCTACCTCCACCTCTCAGCTCCGTCACACCACCTACGGACTCCGCAACCTGCAAAAAGTTCACAACTCACACCACACCAAAGCCATTGAAATTTTCACCGTACCTCCCGTTTCCATCTTCCTTCCTTCTGCCGGTATCGTCATCCGTCCACGGCCTTCTTCCCTCTCCCTTCTCGCTCCCCTCCGCTCTGACTCTCTTCTCTCTCCTTCTGGAACCTTCATTCCCTTCTTCTTTTCCTCGTTCCCGCTCTCTTCCTTCTCTCCTTTTCTCTTTTTTTTTTTCTTCCCTCTTCTCCCTTTTCCGACCTCTCTTTATACCCTACCAGCTTACTCAAAACGATGTCGTTTTCCTCTATCCCAAAACGACGTCGTTTTTTCTCCTCTTTAAAACAGTGTCGTTTCCTACCTATATATATATATTTTTTATTATTATTTTTTTCATTTTTTTTTTTGTTTCTAGTCACTACACATCACAGCTTATTTAATAATTAGAATAATAATTACATTACAATTCATTTATACAAAGTATAATCTAATTTTAAAATAATTTTGTCATTTGTGGTAAATCATGAGTGTTAATTAATTTTGATATTAAATAAAATATATATTATATATAAGTACAAAAATCAAAATTTGATATTTAAATTTAAATTAAGCTTGCAAGGTCCGATTAATTTAAATCATAAATATTAAATTTTGTTATTTAATAGAATTATTTTTATTGTTTATGTTTTATAAAAATATCAAAAAATAAATAATTATAATAGTTGATATAACTTTTTAATCCGTTGAAGCTGATCTTTATCCTAACTCTATACATATACTTATACATATACCTATACATATACATAACATATGTATTCTAACATAATAAATATTAATTGAATTTCAAAAAATAAGAAGATTTAGGAGCTAGCATTCAGTTAAGAGAATTAATCTTTTTCTTTCTTTTGTTGTTTTTTAATAATATATATAAACATAGATAGAGATATATATATCTATATATATATAGATTTGTAGATATACTCATGTAAATACAAATAGATAAAGTTTTCCATTTTTAATAATATGTACAAACGTATATATAGATATATATATGGATTTGCAGATATACTTAGACAAATACAGATAGATAAAGATTTTCATTTTTTTAATTATATGTATGTACAGATATAAATGCATGTATATATATATATATCTATGTAGATAATATATGTTTTAGATAGATATATACAGCTTTACATACACATTTGAAAGCAGTCACCTACAACTCTGCTTAAATTTGCTTTTGGCCATCTCACTTGACCTACAAACGGCGTCGTTTATCCTGTTCATCACTCTCATCTTCCTTACTCCAACCCTAATCTCCCAAAATTGTACTCTTTCATTGGCTCCCATCTTGCCGTCTTATCCAGTTGGCATCGACAGGCAGAATGGATAACTGAAATGCTCCAGAACTCGCCGAATTCAACATTCGTCATACATGGACCACTGGGTATTCGCCAATTATTCACTGCAAACCCAGCTAATGTTCATCACATTCTCAAAAGCCATTTCCCCTATTACACCAAAGGTAGGGTTTTTCGAGGAAATCTGCATGATTTTTTAGGTAATGGAATCTTTTGGTGTTGATGGGGATACTTGGAAGTTCCAGAGACAGATTTCAAGCCATGAATTCTATACTAAATCTCTCCGTAAATTCATTGAAACTGTTGTTGATACTGAGATTTTTAACCGTTTAATCCCCATACTCTCAGATAATAAAGAACGGGTATTGGATTTTCAAGATATTCTTCAAAGATTTGCTTTTAATAATATATGTGAGATTGCTTTTGGGTTTGATCCGGAATGCTTGGCGCCATCTCTTCCACAAGCTGAGTTTGCAGAAGCCTTTGATAAGCTGTGAAACTTAGCAGTGAACGCTTCAAGGTTCTTCCCATAGTATGGAAGACCAAGAGGCTTTTAACCATTGGATCAGGAAAAGATCTCAACTTTTCATTATCCCAAATCCGGAAATTAGCATCTACCATCGTCAGAGAAAAGAAGCAGGAATTTATCAACAACCCATCTTTAGAATCTGCTGATTTGCTCTCAAGATTCTTGATCTCTAACATTTCAGATAAAAACTTGTCATAGACATTGTCATTAGTTTCATCCTTGCAGGCCGTGACATGGTTTTTCTGGTTGATTTCAAAAAACCCAGATGTGGAAAACCAAATTCTTAACGAGATTAAGGGGATACAACCCAATCTTCCAGTTTTTGATCAAGTAAAGAATATGGTTTACACTCATGCCTCTCTTTGTGAAAGCATGAGACTTTACCCACTAGTACCAATGGATACTAAAGTAGCATAAGAAGGTGATAATTATGCCAGATGGGACAAGGGTGAAGAAAGGGATGGCAGTGACTTATCATCCATATGCAATGGGGAGGATGAAGGAGATATGGGGAGCAGATTGGGCAGAGTTTAAACCAGAGAGATGGTTGGAAAGAGAAGCAACAAGTGGAAAATGGAGGTTTATAGGGAAAGATCCATACATGTATCCTGTATTTCAGGCAGGGCCAAGGGTTTGTTTAGGGAAAGATATGGCTTTCTTGCAAATGAAGAGAGTGATGGCTGTTGTTCTTTCAAGGTTCAAAGTGGTGCCTTCCATGGTGGATAGTGGGGAACCAGAGTTTTTGATTCATTTGACAGCAAAGATGATAGGTGGGTTTCCGGTTAGAATTCAGGAGAGATGGTCTAATTTCTAGTTTACTATTTTTTGGTTTATTGTAATTAGATTGCCCATGGTTTGACTAGATTTGGCTAGGTAAGCTCATTGTATGTATAGTTCATGGTGTTGCTTATTCTCATGTTTGGATTTAGTGGGTTGACTCTAATAGTTTGAGATTTATAGCTAACTAGTAGTAGTAATGTAGAACAAAACTCCATACAAAAGAAAAAAATTTAATTTTAAAATCTATATAGTCACTAGTCTTATTAGAAATAAGATCATATGTCACATTAATTTTTTTATTTTTATATATAGTTTAAAAATAAACTAATATGTATGTACGTGATTGTGATGTTCATTCATAAAGTTCTTGAAGATGAAAATGAAAATGGAAATTTTATAAAATCTAAACTTTGAAGAGTTTAAACCCATTATTGAAAAAGATATCATCTTCGATTATGCTATTTTTTACCATACATATTTGTAGCTCTTGTTCGTAAAACATAACTCTTTTTTAATAAATTGCAAAAATTATATTTTACATAAAAATATAAAAATTATAAAGATTATACCCTTTAAAAAAATAATTTAAGATTTAAAAGCTTACGATTTGAAACCACGATATAAATATTTTAAAATGTAAAAACATTGTTCATTATAATTATTATTTTATTAATCAATTTACTTTTTCACTTATTTACTTTAATTATTTGTACAGGTGTTGAACTTAAAAAGAAATAAAGTCATAAATTAAGTAGTAAGCAAAATAATAGAGTTTAGGGTTTACATTCCTTACACAATAATTTATAATATTCAATAAAATTACGAGAATATTCATTTTAAAAGAACGAACGAAAATTAAAGAAATAAATAAAAAGTAAATAACTAAATATTTTAGGACGACATTCACTAATTTTTGAAAGGAGTCCGGGTGGTGATGTAACACCCATTAATTTTTTATTATTATTATTATTATTATTATTAATTTTTAATTTATTTTATTTAGTTTATTTTGTAATTATTGAAATTTTAATTGATTTATTTTATTTAATTTAATTTAACTTAATAAAAATAAAAATAAAAATAATGATAAAATTGGGTAAAAATATTATTTGGATTTAATTGAAATTGATTTTTGAAAAAAATGGTAAAAATTTAGATTATGGGGATATTTTTGAAAAGAAAATCGGAAACCGGGGGTTAAAACGCAATTTAGAAAAATTGTGTCCCGTCAGCGCCACGTCAGCGGCCCAGTCAGCAGTCCTGGCCAACCAGAACCTGCCATGTGGCAAGGCCACGCCGACCTGGGAACGGGCCACGCCGACGATCGGCGTGCGCGCGATCGGACGGCCCAGATGCGTCCCCGCGTGCACGGACGGCCCAGATCAAGTGTGCGCACGGACAGCCCAGATACACGCGCACGGACGGCCCAGATTTAATCGCCATGGACGGCCCAGATTAAATTAAGATGGACGGCTGTGATTAAAAGGCAAAGGGTATAAATAAACCCCCCACACCTGACCACAAAAACCCTAGCCGCCAGCCCTCGCCGGAGAAGACGAACCAGACGCCGGAGGAGCCGGCCGTCGCCACCCGCCGCCGCACCGGGGAGTTTTTCGACCGCTGATCGAGGTAAATTTCATACTCCCGGCTCGTTTTTCAATGCTGAGTTCCCCTGTGGCCAAATCGGAGCCTAACTCCCGGCCAAACGGCCAGAAAACACGGCCGAAACCCAGCGGCGTCGCCGCGACCCTCCTCGATTTTTGCCTCCGATGAGGCCCTTCCCGGCCTCCATTTGATACAATTTTTATATCACCGTGATTACCATTCTTTTCTCTACAGGTTGATCAGAGCCAAATCACCAAAACACGAACCACGTTGGAGAGCTGCCGCACCCGAGAGCACCGCCGTCGGTAAGCTTCGGTTTTTCGTAATTTTTTGGCCCCCCGAGGGCCCTAGGGTTGTTTTATCGCAGGGACCGATGCAAGTGTGGCCGAATTTGGCCGAAAATGGCCAACCCGAGGCGAATCGCCGCCGCTCACCGGAGCACGGAGGAGCCGCCGTGCTGGAATTGCGATATTGGCCGAAAGGGGCCCTGGGTCTAATTTGGGATTTTTTGGGACACGTGCAGGTACTAGTAGTGCATTTCAATTCTCCGGAAAAAATTCAGAGAAAATTAGGGACAGCCTGTAGGCGCACTATAGATCCGTATTCAGACCCCGAAACAAGTAAGGATTCCTCACCATACTTCCTATTACGGTATTAAAGTGCAATAAATGATAAAATGGTATTTCATGAATCAATAGCTGTGTGAAATTGTCTAAGATTGCTAATGGAGCCCGAGTCTAGTGTATTTATCGGTCAGTTGTTGTTTGTTCTATTTTACAATTTTAAATGCAGTATGATGTCTGATGTTTTTATTTCATAGTTTCGTGTGCATGTATCACTGTTTCATTGATTATGGACTGAATGACTGAGAACCTAATGTTGCGTGTTGTCTTGTTGGCATGAACTACTGGTTTGCATGTTTGTGTGTGACTTGATGATGGTGACTAAAGAAAAAAGGGATAAAAAGTTATATGAATTGACAAACGGATAATGTGGACAGCCTGACTAGGTATCCTGGGAGATGGTGGACGGACCGGGTCCGTAGGGAACCATACCGGGAACGTGGTCTCTCATACCGGACGGGGTATGGAGACCTTATGTGTTTTGGCGCCCATACCGGACGGGGTATGGGGACGGCCCTAGAATCAGGTTATAAATGTTAAGGGTTCACGAGTAGCGGGACCCCTATGGATTCCCATGGATACTCGTAGGCTGGTAAATGAGGAAAATGTATTATTTAATGATTGAGATACAAAAGCGTGGTAAGTATTCTGTTATACAATTCATATGATTTCATGATGATGATAATGTTATTTCTTTCGTATGTTGTTTTATGAACTTCACCGAGGTAAGTGGACAGTAAATGATTATATTATTGATAAAATAATTTGTTGTAAATTATGCCCCATTGGTCTTTTTGTATTTTCTACCCACCTTTACCTCCGTGGCGGTGAGATAGTGTGATATCTTTACTAGGCTGGTGTAGCTCATTCCTTATTTAACCATTTCAGATCATGAAGACATTGTTCCCGAACCCGTTCTGCAGGAAGACGGCGAAGGGGACGCCTAATTTCAATAAAAGGGTGAAATATTTAATAAAAGGGTGAGTTATATTAGCTCAGTAAGAATATCACACTATTCACCGATATAAAAATTGAAGGTTGTTAAAAATCATAAAAAAACCAATAGAACTCTTAATTTAAGTAAATTTATTTATTATAAGAAAAACCATTTATTGTATATATTTACCGTGTAAAATTTTCAAAATCTACCTATAGGATAATAACTCAAATAACTTTCCAATGTCCTATTCAAAACAGTAAGAACAATAATTTTC